CCGTGTTAGCCAGGATGGTCTCGATCTCCTGACCTCGTGATCCGCCCATCTCGGCCTCCCAAAGTGCTGGGATTACAGGCTTGAGCCACCGCGCCGGCCTCGGAAATTATTTTCAAGTTTTGTAAAAAATCATCTACTATTGGCCGGGTGTGGTGGTTCACGCTTGTAATCTCAGCACTTTGAGAAGCTGAGGAGGGAATATCACTTGAGTCCAGGAGCACCAGCCTGGCCAACATGATGAAACCCCATCTCTACTAAAAATACAAAAAATTAGGCAGGCGTGGTGGTGGGCGCCTGTAGTTCCAGCTGCTTGGGAGGCTGAGGCAGGAGAATCGCTTGAACCTGGGAGGTGGAGGTTGCAGTGAGCTAAGATCGTACCACTGCACTCCCTAGCCTGGGTGACAGAGCGAGACATTGTCTCAAAAAAAAAAAAGAAAAGGCTGGGCGCGGTGGCTCACGCCTGTAATCCTAGCACTTTGGGAGGCCAAGGCAGGCGGATCACGAGGTCAGGAGATCAAGACCTTCCTGGCTAACACAGTGAAACCCTGTCTCTACTAAAAATACAAAAATTAGCCGGGCGTGGTGGCAGGTGCCTGTAGTCCCAGCTACTCAGGAGGCTGAGGCAGGAGAGTGGAATGAACCCAGGAGGCAGAGCTTGCAGTGAGCAGAGATCGCGCCACTGCACTCCAGCCTGGGCGACAGAGCAAGACTCTGTCTCAAAAAAAAAAAAAAAGAAAAGAAAAAAAGAAAAAGCCCAGGGCAAGGCCCACAAGGGAAAGAGGATGAAGAGCAGAAGCTTTCCTCTAGTCACATTTTTCCATTCTGAGGCCCCAGAGACTGACTGGTCTCCCTTTCTGGTACCACTACCCCATTAACTCCAGCAAGGCTTTACTTCTCTACTGGCCCTCTCTTCCCATCTGTGATGAATTGCACAGCTCCACCAAGAAATTCTCTCATGCAGTTGATTCTACATCACCTTCCCACCCCCAAGTGCAAGCAATAATGGGAGGCTGAGGGCATGGCTTTAAAGAGCCTCTCCTAGGTGTCCTCCCTTGCCCATCACTTCTCCTAACTTCTCTTCATACTTTACTTTTCCCCTAATTGTTATTTGTGTACCTGTGATCTAGTAAAATCTATTTCTATTTCAGGGTTATAAAGATTAAACGAAGCTCTTAAGTAGTTTACCAGAGGAGGATCATACTGAGGAGTGGCTCTACTGGGGAGGGCTGAAAGACTGCAGGTAGGCAAAATGTGCCATCTGTAAGAGCACTGAGTAAAGTGCAGTCACCAATTCAACCCCCATACCCTCCTCTAAGTCCTGCAGTCCCACTGCTCTCCCCATCCAAAGAGAAGGCACTAGGGCAAGGAGGGCCAGGGGTGGGCAAAAGGGAACAGCATTTACAGTAACCTGCATGACAGTTAATCCCACACCCTCCTCCATACCCCCATGCCTCTTCTCTTTTCTTGCTAACAGAACCCATCTTTCCTTTCTTTCTTTCTTTTTTTTTTTTTTGACAGGGTCTTGCACTGTTGCCCAGGCTGGAGTACAGTGGCACAACCTTGGCTCACCACAACCTCCATCTACCTCCCAGGTTTGAGTAATTCTTGTGCCTCAGCCTCTTCTCCTGAGTAGCTGGGATTACAGGTGTGTGTCACCATGCCTGGCTAGTTTTTTTGTATTTTTAGTAGAGACGGGGATTTGTCATGTTGGCCAGGCTGGTCTCGAACCCTGGCCTCAAGTGATCTGCCAACCTCAGCCTCCCAAAGTGCTGGGATTACAGGTGTGAGCCACAGCACCTGGTTAGAACACATCTTTTCTATAGTATCAATTAGGCAGCAATGCGCCCAGGAAAGCAGGCCCTGGGAACAAATCATGATTGGTCCGTCACAGAAATTTCTTCTTTGCTGGTGGAAGGACTAGGAGGGCGCAGTCATAAGGGGAGGTTGGCTGGAGCCTTCCAGAGAGGACTTTCTTCCCTGACAAAGCATTATGGAGACAAGGACCATTTTCCATGCTTTTCTTTCTTTTTGCTCACAAATCAGAGTGCTGATTTGTGAGATGATGCTTAATGCCATGGCAGGCATCAAACCCCCATGAGGAAAAAAGTCAAGAAAATCACAGACACAGACCCAAATCCTAACATCAATGAGCAAGCAACCAGAACAAGTGCTAAAACCTATCTCCAGTTTGCTTATTAAGGAAATAATAAAAGGCCTTATAATTTAAGCCACTTGGGTATTCAGTTACTTACAACTAAAAGTACTCCAAACTCATACAAGTTGTACAGGGGAAAGGCAGAAGTTCGGAACATCATTATCTGTGACAATGGGGGAAGGAAATTCCCATGGCTATGGGGCTGAGACAGAACTGCTGAGAATCAAATAAAAGTCAATCAGGGACTAAACATTCGTGCCTCAAAATATGACCAGAAATATACATCAGGAGTCCCTAAAATGTTGTGGAAAAAATAACTTTATCTTTCCAACATTCTGACATAGACAAGGGAAGAATCTGTGAGTGTGGTGGTACCTGTTATCCCCCCCAGGGTAAATCAAATCAGGTTTTATGATCTACCAAATGGTATCATCAATTGGCCAAATGTTCTCCAATGCTCGCCAACAGGCAACATGCTACACTTCTCCCAGGCCCTGGACTAGCAGAGGTCCTTATATCCTCCCCAAAACACTCTGCTTGTCTGGCTTTTTTTAGAGTGTTGAGGACTAACTAACCTCATCCTCAGCAATTTCCCTCCTTTTCTGCTTTGCTAATTATTTGTAATGTTTACAACATAAAGAGTCCCCTTTGAGGAGAAGAGCCTAGTTGCATTCATCTTTGTGCAAGACATGGTACTTATTAGAGGAAGAGGAGAAAAAGTAAGGGTTGAGGATTTTTTTTAAGATTTTGACTAACAATAGTGAATTCTCTTCTGATAATCTACAAACATCTTGCTTTCCTAGAACATAAGCACTCACCAAAGGGTCCTGCAATCCTTAGGCCAGCTAAAGGGTTAAAGGGAGTCAATGCTGCTCCCAAGGCTCTGATCCAAACTGGAATTGGTCTGTCTTGATCAGCAAGGTCTGGTCGTTCAGGGAAGCCCCAAGGTTCCACTAAAATGAGATGATTAACCCTGTTGGGGGAAAGAACAGATTTAAGTTCATTTGGTAAAATCACCCTAAGTCTATAAAGAGCTAGCATGATTTATAAAACAAAGGTAGAATGAACCACCTTCAAAAATCTTCACGTTAAAGACTAATGGCGGAACAGGTCGTATTATGCTGTTATCCTGTGTAAACTTTCGAGATTCAGTAGGATCTAAGCGGTGTATGGTAGAAAGAGGGCTTTATTTTTAATATATCTAAATGTGGATAATAAAAGATGTATAGAGTACACAACTGTGTGTTTATTAAAAAAAAGAAAAAAGGGCATTTGTTATTTAAGTTACAATCTGGGAGATGATGTAGATCACTGGCTACTCAGAAAAATCCAATGGTTCCATTTATATCACGGCTGACACTGCAAAAATGGCCAAAGATCAATATCTCATTCTTTTTTATTTATTTATTTTCTATATTTTATTTTATTTTATCTTATTTTATTTTGAGACAGAGTCTCGCTCTGTTACCCAGGCTGGAGTGCAGTGGCGCGATCTCGGCTCACTGCAACCTCTGCCTCCCAGGTTCATGCCATTCTCCTGCCTCAGCCTCCTGAGTAGCTGGGACGACAGGTGCCCACCACCACGCCTGGCTAATTTTTTGTATTTTTAGTAGAGACGGGGTTTCACCGTGTTAGTCAGGATGGTCTCGATCTCCTGACCTCGTGATCTGCCCGCCTCGGCCTCCCAAAGTGCTGGGATTATAGGCGTGAGTCACTGCGCCCGGCCCAATATCACATTCTTATAAAATAGCCTCAGATACCAACAATAGTTATCTCCTATGAATCAACCATCCTAAAAATTTAAGTGAAGTTAAGGACTTAAAGTGGGTTCAAAAGTACTTTAAATTAACTTTTCATAAACATGAGGATAACGTAATGTGGACTGAAAACACTCCTTAGTTTGGGATTCTAGAACTGTTGAAAAAGAACACGTCTATCTACCTTATCCATGATTTCTTGCTATACTAACATTAGATTCTGTTCCCAATTCTTTCCCAATTTTCTTTTTCATTGACCAAGAGATAGAAAATCTTTAGTACAACTTCATATACAATTATTTCTTATTGTTAATCATTTTAATTTTTCCATCTTATGAAACTTCTTCCCAATGAAGGAAAACCAGAACTATCAGCAGTACTTCCATGTAGTTGCATCATACTTTATACATCATAAAGATTCTAAACAAAGTACAAAGATCCTTCTGAAACAATACAATGTTCAACTGTAACCAAACCAGCCAAGAAATGCCAGCCAAAAATCTCCCAAGGATAAACTGACAATGACTCTAAAGTCCCTTTCCTAAGTTATAACTGAAACAGAAAGGTAAAGAAACTAAAACATGGGCACAGATGGTACTATTCCTCATATAAAATCTATTCTGTTATTGTTGTCAGCATGCGTAAGAATGAGTTAGTAACAGGTCCATACTGTTGACTGCTTTTTTTCAGACAGAAAGCTTTAGAGCACAGAGCTCTATGGTCCCTTAGAGAATATTGGGTGCAATCTTTCATCTTAGATAAAAAGGAAGCTGAGATGTACTACACGACCTGCTCTGGTATATAACATTAGTTAACAAAGAACTAGGGCTGAAACCCACATTTCTCTACTCCAGCATACTAACAGATGCTGACAAGGAATTGGGCAGAAGGCTTTGTTTTCTAAAAATAGGCTAGTCAACGTAAGATAGACATATTAGTAAAGGTAAAACTTAACCTTTATTAACTCTCAAGGTCGGTCCTAATAGTATACTCTAGATTTCACAGCACTGAGAACATATGTAGACTATAACCATAAAGATGTATGAAGATATGTGATAAATGAGTTTCATATAATTATGAAGTATGCCTTCACAGCCTAAAAATTTCATATGAGAACATTTTCTAATAGTGTATCAGAAAGAGGTTGGAAATGAGTGTTTTGCTTTGTTTTTTAATGGCAAAGACTATCTCTTATATTTTGACCACTTCCTAAATTCCTTTTAATTTTTTATTTTTTGAGATGGAGTCTCACTCTGTCGCCCAGGCTGGAGCGCAGTGACGCAATCTCAGCTCACTTCAACCTCTGCCTCCTAGGTTCAAGTGATTCTCCTACCTCAGTCTCCTGAGTAGCTGGGATTACAGGCATGCACCACCACGCCCAGCTAATTTTTGTATTTTTAGTAGAGACGGGGTTTTACCATGTTGCTCAGGCTGGTCTCAAACTCCTGACCTCATGATCCACCCACCTTGGCCTCCCAAAGTGCTGGGATTATGGGCCTGAGCCACTGCACCCGGCCCTAAATTCCTTTAATTACAGCCCACAATAAGATGTGGGGTAGGGGAAGGAAGAGGCCTAACGGGTATGAGTGGAACTAACGAGACAGCCACCTAGTTGAAAGCAGCAAAGATTCATGTTAAGAAACAGCCACTATTATTCACTATTGATTTACTTCCCAAAGAGAAAAATGAACTCTTCATTAAAACATACCCTACCCTAAACAATTGTTAAATTTTTGTCACAAATTTGTTAATGGATCTTGCTCAGTCTGCTCTAAACTCTTTCTGACCTGCTAACCCAAAAACAGGAGGACAAAGGAAAACTTGACAGAAGTCTCATCTGTCTCTAGGTGACTGTTTTTGCCTTAGTTCTGGTTTGCCTTTTAAATATGATCTTCAAAATTTCATCCCTAGGTGAAAATGCCAGTTTAACAAAGTATGCAAAGTATATATACTAAGGCAGATGACTTTTCAGTTCCTTTTTGAAAAGGAGTGAATGTCCCTACAATTGCTCAGTTCTACTGTCCCTACAATTGATCAGTTCTATGTCTTCATAACCTAGTATGAGGCTTAGCACGTGGCAGATGCTTGGCAAACATTTGGGTTAATATGCTTTTCCATGTTTTCTTTTGGTCCTAGTCTATTAAGCATATACAAATTTTATAAAGTATAATCATAGCATAAGCATATCCAACTTGATTTTTCTGGTCCCCCAGATGACATCAGAACATCACTCCTATTTATTAATCTCATTATTCAGTAACAAAATCCATTTAGATAGTCAACAACCAGTCTAGTCTTTTCTAAATAAAATTATACTGTCTGGAACAGAAAAATAAATCATAAGCATTGAATACTGGCCACAAAATTATATTAATATATGTGTGCATGTGTGTCTGAAACAAGTTTTGTGGGGTGATACAATTGTATTTTTCTAATCCAAACAATATAGAAGGGCTATAGTAAAAAAAGTTTGAACATAATTTTTTAAAACTCTACAACATCTAATCTGTAGTTAACTGTAGTTATATATCATCTGCTTCTACTACATGTAAAAACCCCAGAAAATAATTGTTCCTTATTTTTGGTTTTAGGTATTTTAAATAAGATAGACCATGCAAAGCACTCAGGTTAGTGGCTATCAAAAGGTAAATATTCAGTAAATGTAAGCTAGTTACAGTAGCAAGAATAGGAAGACTACAAGAGTAGAATTTATTCCAGGGAACATGGAAAGACAGGTATTTATTCTTCAGAAGAGCTTGATCACAGGTGACTACAACGTTGCACCAGACCAAGGTCCCAGGCTCTCTTCTAACCTCTACTTCTAGTAAAAATATTATCTCCTCATTTGATAGGAGTTACTGGGCTTTAATGTACATCTAAACTATAATAAGCTAAACTCTACTCTTTAATATTCCAGAGAGGGTTCCCTGCTGGGATTGTTAGTTCACATTTAGGGTAAAGAATGGGTCCAACCAGACAGCACATGCGAGTCATCCTATTAGACATCCTTGTCAAGAACCAGAGACTGGTTTAAACCACAAGAAAAATAAAGAACCAGCAGAGCAGGAACAACAGAACAGCTCATCAGTTTTGAAATATAAAAAGGCATTCTTCTTAACGTTAGTCATTAGAATTGGCCTTGAGTTTGAAGATGGTGAGCAGAGTACACCCTTAAGGGCAAAGCAGTGGACAATACCTGTACCAACACACTGGGACCTGATTTCACTTCGTCTAAATGCTAACAAGGGTAGATAAGCCTGACCTTCATGAGATTTAAAGACAGCCACCAATCGGAAATAATGCAACAAGAACAACAGTCAGGTCAGGCGTGGTGGCTCATGCCTGTAATCCCAACACTTTGGGAGGCTGAGTTAGGAGGATCACTTGAGGCAAGGGGTTCAATATCAGCCTGGCCAACATGGTGAAACCCCGTCTTTACAAAAAATACAAAAAAATAGCCAGACGTGGTGGTGCACACCTGTAATCCCAGCTACTTGGGAGGCTGAGGCACGAGAACTGCTTGAACCCAGAGGCGGAGGTTGCAGTGAGCCAAGATCGTGCCACTGCACTGCAGCCAGGGCAACAGAGCAAGACACTGTCTCAGGGGGAAAAAAAAAAAAAAAGCAGCAAAGAAAGGAGAACAATCAGACCTAGGATCAAAATGTATAAAGGAATTTAAGGAAAATAATCAGAAAGAACGCTAGTCAATGCACAAAGGAGGCATTTGCAAAATGAAGTTAGCCCCAGGTATTTCCCATTGGCTCCAAGCCACCAGAGAGAGAAAAGGGAAGGCCTGGAGAACAAAAAACTAAATAAATACCTTCAACTTCGAATCAAGTAGAACAGTTTTTCCTAGAAGAGCAGAGGGCCAACAAAAATTGCTCAACTCCATTCTGTACAATCAGAAGACAGAGCCAGGCAAAAGAAAAGTATTCAAGATAAAATTATATAAAAACTTTTCACTAGAGAAATAAAGACTAGTCAAAACTTACTCTAATGTAACTCAGAATAGATCTCTTTGCTAAACACTTTCTAAGTTAAAGTTTCTATAATCTCCTTTTCCTTAGTTTATAACAAATATCTTCAAAATACAGATAGTCTTTTTAATGGGGTCCTGAGCAGCAGGGGCCAGAAGGAAAGGAAAATTAAAAGAGAAAAACTGGACCAGGCACAGTGGCTCACGCCTGTAATCCAAATGCTGGCAAAAATTGATCAGCTTTTATTTGTTCTTTAGAGTAAGAATCCTTCTTAAACAAGTGCATTAAACTAGGCATTTTCATTCTTCTCCTCAAACTGTCCTATAAAAGTAACAAACGGAAGAATGGAGCTGCCCATAAAAGACAAAGACTGAAGTAGGTATGGCTTGGAACACTAAGTCCCAACAAATAAAACAATGTTGTTTTTGTGTTTTTTCCCTCCATGCATTAAACAGAAAGTAAGGAGCTGTCATTTTACTTAAAAGAAAAAAATAAAGATTACATTTGCAACACCTGAGGAAGCAAAGAACAAAATAACATTATCAGCTGGGTATGGTGGCTCATGCCTGTAATCCTGGCAGTTTTGGAGGCCGGAGGATCACTCCAGGCCAGGAGTTTGACACCGGCCTGGGCAACATAGTGAGACCCCCCATCTCTACATAAAATTTAAAAAATTACCCAGACATGGTGGCACACCTGTAGTACTAGCTACATGGGAGGATTGTTGAGCCTAGGAGGTCAAGACTGCAGTGAGCCACGATTGTGCCACTGCACTCCAGACTGTGCAACAGAGTAAGACCCTATCTCCAAAAAAAAAAAAGTAACATTCTCAAAGTCCACTATCGAGAAAAAAGAGAGACAAAAGAGGCACAGTGAGTGTAAGAAATGATCTGAATTTCATTTGATCTCCAGACCACTTTTTCCCTCCTCTTAGCGTTCCCCCCACTCCCACCAAAAGTCTTTCTGAAACTCAAAGATTCATTTCAATCTCATGACAGCATAATAAAAATGCTACTGGATCAAAAGCAAGCTGGATGAGCACTGAGTATGTAGTTCGGTAACTGTTTGTTGATACCAAGCGGACTGCTCTGTTGCACCAGAGAAAGCATGTGTGTGCTGCAAAGAAGCTTCTCCAGCTCAGGTGAAACATTCCAGATCACACAGAAGGCAACCCTGACAACTACCCCATCTGCTTAGTGGGAATGCCAACTTCAAGACACACCAAACACTAAACATCACTTAATATGAAGTTTGCTATAATGGTGAACACTTATAGTACTCAGTCCTGTTTAATCCTGTTTAATGTTTGGATCTGTGAGTCTACTGAACTATTAACTATCAGATCATCTATGTAAATTTGTACAAATTTGCCCAACCAGGATCAAGCAGAAAAAAATTCCTTTTAATAAAAAGTTAACAAATATAAGCAACATTATTAGTAATATGAATAAACACGTGGACAGCAAGACCAAAGGGCACTAAAGGAGACGATGCACCTTGCAGAAAAGACAAGAGCTACTCATTTTTCCCTGTCCTCTCCATTTAAAGAGAAGTGCTTTCCAGGGAAGCCATACCGAACAGCAATGAAGGAAAAAAGCAAGGGAGAAGGGGAAGCCCGTGAGATTGTTAATTCCAGCCTTCCTATATTATATGCTACAATGGGGTATTAATCTGGTCTATTAGAATAGGGAAAAAATAAACTATAAAATTTTACTTTTATTTAGTAGATTTAACACACTTCTAAACTAACTAAAGTTGTTGGTTTAAATGGCTGGTCAATTTGTTTAATTCTGTAAAATATTCATGTATGTTATATATACATATATATGTGTGTAAATGTTAGAAGAAACATGCTAATACCTTTCTCTCACACATACATGTAGAATGATCTCTTTATTTCCACTGTAACCTGTTTTTATGACATAGTAACTTAACATGTAGATTAACTGGGCAAAAGGCATAAAACTGAAATCTTTGCCTGCTTATGCTTGCATATCTGAAACTAATTTTTCTCCCAAAAATAAATTAGAAAGATATGACATGACCAGCTCTTATCTCTTGATACTTCTGTGCAAAATGGAAAGAGAAGAACAGAGAAAAGAACAAAAAATTGTAAGCTAAAAGGTGAACTTAGCTTATAATTCTCTTTTTCAAAATCACCTATTCAAGAAATATTTACTAGGCAGCCACTATGTGCCAACCATGGTGTTCTGACTGACTGGACATAATCATGATTGGAGATATCTGAAAATCCAGAAAACATCATTATTTTGAAATTAACCTGTATTTAACAATTTAAGTTTTATGCAGTTAAGAATATAAATTTGAATATTCAACAAACTCCGTACAGTTCAAAATTTTGTTGGCAACCAGTCAAATTTAGACAGGCTAATTATTTCAAGCATTCTCATATCCATCTACTGCTACTACTTATGATTCTTGGTCCTGATACAGTACTCTAGTTTTATTTCTAGCATTAGACACAAACATTCAAAAACCATTTTCTAAAATATAATCAATCCAATGCAGGAATCACTAGCTTTGTTTTTAGATACCTTTTGCTATTCTCTTTTATAGCTGTTTTTAAAGTGTTGATTCCCTTCTGAATCCCTGAAGCTTCACCCCCTATTTCTTTAGAGCAGTTCACAATTGAAAATGAAACTCTTACCAACTGAAACTCTTACCAACTGACCTTATCAGTAGAGAGCTATGAAGGGTCAGGATTCTAAGACTTAGGGTTTAATGACCAAGGTCTAGCCTGCAGAGTTCCAAGTCACATCTCCAGAGAATAAATGCCACAAGACAGACACAGACATAATACACACCTGATAAAAAACAAAGGAAGTTCAACTCCCACAAATAGCCCTGTTGACTTGTACCAGAAAGGCATCCACTTCCTTCTCCTTTCACCATAAATGCAGATAGGTGTTTGTCACTAACAGTAAGACACAATAAAAGAAAGTAACCCCAGCCGGGTGCGGTGGCTCACACCTGTAATCCCAACACTTTGGGAGGCCAAGGCAGGTGGATCTCCTGAGGTCAGAAGTTTGAGACCAGCCTGGCCAACATGGTAGAACCCTGTCTCTACTAAAAATACAAAAATTAGCTGGCATGGTGGCAGGCTCCTGTAATCCCAGCTACTCGGGAGGCTGAGGCAGGAGAATTGATTGAACCCGGGAGATGGAGGTTGTGGTGAACCGAGATACCGCGCCACTGCACTCCAGCCTGGGCGACAGAGTGAGACCCTGGCTCAAAAAAAAAAAAAAAGAAAAGAAAAGGAAGAAAGTAACCCCAAAATGCCAACCAGGAGAAGAAAATTTGCGTTTCTTTTTAAAGAACAGGTCCACCAGTTGACAGGACTATTACTGTCTAGCACATCTAGGACCATGAGATCAGAAAAATCAGGTGTAAATGCTAAAGTTTAAAGAGTCTATAGAGAAAAAGTGGCTGTTTCAGAGGAAGAGAACCTCAGGGACACAGGGCTGCTGCTTCACCCATCAAATTCTGTGTTGAACACACACCCAGAGTTATGCAATGGGGCGATCTTATAGGTATACACAGAGACTCTGAAATGACCATCATCCCATGTCTCACTCACAGACCTCAAAGTCAAAATCAGTTGTAAATTTGGATTTAAAAATCAGTCCAATGGAAAAATACACTGGCAACACAAAAATGCTATATTCATTTTTTGTTGTTTCTTTCCAAAAGATGAATGTTTCTCCTGTTTTCTTAGCACTTAAATGTGACCTTCTCTCATAGTAGTAACATGAATAATAGAAAACAGCATTTAAAAATAAGGAAAGAGGCTGGGTGCAGTGGCTCAGGTCTGTCATACCAGATCACAGAGGGGAGGCCAAGTGGGGTGGATCACCTGAGGTCAGTAGTTCAAGACCAGCCTGGCCAACATGGCAAAACCCCATCTCTACTAAAACTACAAAAATTAGCTGAGTGTGGTGGCATGCACTTGTAGTCACAGCTACTCGAGAGGCTGAGGCCTCTCGAGAAGAATCACTTGGGCCTGGGAGGCGGAGGTTGCAGTGAGCCAAGATCACGCCATTGCACTCCAGCCTCAGTGACAGAGCAAGATTCTCTCTCTTAAAAAAAAAAAAAAAAAAAAGACAAAGAAAGGAGATGATACTAGAAAGACTTTGAAGCAAATATTCATTAATTCAATGTTTTATAATGAGAAAGGTTAGGGTATGGTATAATAAAAAACCCTGGGATATATGCTATGAAGTTATATTTTCTATAGTTTAGATAAAAGAAAACTAAAGGTTAGATGTTAAGTGATTTGCTCTAAGTCATAAAGCTAGCACTAGTACCTACATCTTCTAACCTTCTGGTTTCCCCTTACAGCTTACTATAACTTAGATAGAAAACATTAGACAAAGCCTGCTGGATCCATAGATTTAACGATAATAGTAACAAATAATTTTTACTTGTGGCTTAAAATTATACATTAAAGTTTCTACAGTTCTAAGTTTAACAAATAGAAAGCCCTTTCCCAAGCCTATTAACATGTAGTACATGTAATAGGAAGATCTGACACGATTATTTCAGCTACTATATTGGTCATCAGTTGTGGTGTGGTCTATAGGGTCCTTTAAGAGAATGTCTGCCTTGTAAGGCTCGACACTAAAACCACCAAAGATGAGAACTAGAGTCTGGTACTTGGAAGCACAGTTTTAATCCCACACTTCTGTCACCACCACTTACCTTGATGGGTACTTCAGCGAGTAAGCAGCAGCCAAGAATCCACCTAGGTTGTGCCCAAGCAAGATCATTTTGTCCAATCCGAGGGCACATCTCCACTCTTCAATGGATTCCACAAACTGATTCTCCACTTCTTCTGCGTCACTGTCAAACCTGGGTCTACTACTTCGTCCAAAACCCAATAGGTCAAAAGCATAGACAGGTCTGTTGGTGCAAAGATCTCCAAAATTCAGTGCCCAGAGCCCAAGACCTCCTCCAAAACCATGTAGAAGGACAAGTGGAGTCTTATTTGAAATATTATGAGAGAACTTCAGTGTCCATATTTTATTTCCATTAGATATACGAACAGGTTCTTTTTTGTATGTGCAAGGGACACCTAATGAAAACATAAAAAAGAAATTCTGTTTCATTTTATTACTTCTGAGAAGGGAAGCATTCTCAGAGCAATCAAAAATTACAAACCATCTAGTATCCAATCTCATGATTTTAGCTTTTATTGCCAGCTATTTTTTAAAAGTACACATTTTATTGAAGTAAATAACTCTAAATGACTATGTTTCAAACCTAAGGGGAAAGACCTACCTCAGACAAAACTCAAGTAACCTGTGGTCAAGGTCTTTGGCAAGTCATATTACCTTCTAACTTCTTTCCACATCTATCAAATGAGGGTATTATACTCCTAGAAGTGAACAGGAACTTAGTGGCCACCGAATCCATTATTTTAAGGTCTCCAGCTTTGCAGACAATTTGTAGAATACTGTCAAGTGTCCTACAATTTCAAGGTGGTATTCTTTTGTTAACTTTGAGTTGAAGTCAGACTCAAAGGCATCATTTTTCCTTTAAAAGTAATCATGAACTTAGGGAAGGATTAATGGTATCTATATTAAACACATAAGTGAAATATTAAGTCATTTCAAAGTTCAGTAGAAAAAAAGTTGACAAAGTATTGTAGGAACTCCTCAGCATGACACACCAGGTAACTTGGGTCCAACTCTAGTAATCTCCCAGAAAAAGCAAATAGTCACAATTTTAAAGATCAAAGTTCTTTTTTACCTTCAATGCTGTGGGACTAAATACTTTAAACACTCCCAAAAATTGCCTAAAAATGAAATTAAATTTGAAATTCACTTATATTTAACTATCAACTGAATAGCTGCATTTCAGATATACCCCTTAATTATTTATGCATATTCATATACAGTAGACAAAACACTGAAGAAACAGGAGTTTCTGCCTTTTAACCAAAGAAATAATCTCAGGTTTTGTATCCATATAGTGGCAGCAAAGAAGAAACCTAACATTCATTCAGATTATTAACAGAGCACATGCCCTCAAGTTAGGGGAAATACCATTAGTTTAGAAAAGGGGCTACTTTGGCTTAAGTACCAAGCCAAACCACTTCAGCATTTTGAACACATACGTCTTGTGTATTCCCATAAAAACCATCTGTAAAACTATCAGATAACTCATTCTACAGTAGCTTACTTTCATGTCTGATAAGCAGAGACCAATTCACATTCCTATTTGCATCCCTAGAACCAAAAGGAAGGGAATCAACATGTTTGTTAGATGCATGAATTGAGAATCTAGCACCTCTTTTTATCTCCTGATAAGAATTTTTTTATTTTGGTAAATCACAATGACAACTTTCTCAGTTTCGTAGAGAGCAAGTTTACCCAAGTACATGGAATAAAAGTTCATTATGTTAAAAATCTGTAATAACCAGGTGTGGTGGCTCACGCCTGTAATTCCAGCACTTTGGGAGGCAGAGGCGGGTGGATCACCTGAGGTCAGGAGTTCGAGACTAGCCTGGCCAACATGGCGAAATCCTGTCTTTACTAAAAATACAAAAATTAGCTGGGCATGGTGGCAGGTGCCTGTAATCCCAGCTACTCGGGAGGCTGAGGCAGGAGAACTGCTTGAACCCAGGAGGCAGAGGTTGCAGTGAGCTGAAATTGTGCCACTGCACTCTAGCTTGGGTAACAGAGCAAGGCTCCGTCTCAAAAAAAAAAAAAAATTCATGTAAGATGGCTAATTATCCCTTCCTAAGGATATATACAGTTATGGTCACTGACTCCTGAATCATTCAAATGCACAAACAAATCCATTACTGGTAAAGAGAATGAAAAACAGACATGTACAAACATCTGCACCTACATACAAAAATAACACATGAATGTGAACGGTACTACTTAATCCACTCCTTTAAGTAGAATCAGCAAAACAAAATTGCACAATAAATACCACTGCTTAGAACTATACCCACAGATACCTTGGAATGCCCTGATGGTACAAGTTTGGATAAATTTTAGTGCTCATAAGAAGGAAAAAAAAGGGCTTCCACACCACTATAAATACAGAATCCTAGAATGTTAGAACTAGAAGGAATTCTAAAGACCCCTTCATTTTACAAAAATCCTACCCCTTCATTTTACAAGAAATAAGAAGCTCAGCAAAGTGACTTTTCCAAGATTTTGTGGCAGATCTGGGCCTAGACCAAGTTACCTGGGTCCAGTCTAGTACTTTCACTATACAAGGCTGCATGCTCTGAAACACCTAGAATCTGTTCTCAAAGCATAGTCTCAAGCATAGTCAGGGGGGTGTCCCTGAGACTCTTTGAGGGGATCCAGGAAGTCAAAACTATTTTCATCATAATACTTATAATACTAAGACTTTATATTTTTCACTCTCATTCTCTAGTAGGTATACAGTCTTCCAGAAGTCACATATGTGATTACCCATCAGACTGAAAGCAGAAGCAGCAACCTTATGTCAAGCTAGATATAAAAGAGATTTGTAAACATGTAAACAATGTTACTCTTCTCATTACATATTTTTTGGAAAGTATTTATTTGTTTTTTTGGTACAAACTTTATTTTAATCTGTAATGGGTTTGTTACCATTATTTTTAAAGAAATTAATAAACATTTTTGATTATTCAATTTTAATTTCTAATTGAATTAGAAATGGTAAATATTGATAATAAGCCCATAAACAAATCTCCTTGGGGTCCTTACTAATTCAAGAGTATAACAGGGGCCCAAGACCAAAAAGTTTTAGAACTCCTACCTGCCAGCCCCCAACATTCATTTCTGTACTTTCTAATGACAAGGAAAAGGAAAAAAGTTATCTTGCTGACAATGAACACACCACAAAATCTTACCTCTAGTTTCAGGGCAGTGAGATATATCGGACCTATCTTAGTACACAGTTCATTTAACTTACAAGAAGAAAGCCTTACATTTTAACATCTTCTCTTCAGCTTCTTTAAGGTGTAATGTAGACGTAGGGCACCACGTAGGGAGCCAGCCAGTTAGCCATCCTGACCTAGAGCACCAAAAACAAAATACAAATAGGTAAGTTCATGCTCTTCTCAACTACCAACTGTCACATGCACAGAAGAAAGGCAGCACAGGAAATTTACTACCTGTATGATGGTGAAGCTATGTGTGACAAAAGTGACCTAACATGCACAAAACATGGTGGTAAGTACTGGGATACAGATATTCAACTTCAGTCTGTGTACTTACAAGTAGATCTCAAAGTCTACCTTATTCATGGATAGTCAGATTCCAAATAAACAAAAAGAAGATAAAATGGGCAGAACAAGAAAACACAAAAAATACATTCCTCCCCACTGCAAGACAGCCTCTTATTAGAGTAGAAGTGCAAAAAAAGTTAAAGACCAGGAGTAGATTCATTTGAATGACAGTTTCACAGTGAATATAAAAGGTACCTCTATAGGGGTTGAGAAAAGAGACGCCTTATTAAAATCTGAGATCTATCATATTTGGGGGAAAAAAAGGCTTCAAATCTCATATGAGTAGTAACATACCCCTAACACAAATGTCAGGGGCTGGACTGTGTACAATCTCCTTGGGGTGAACTGGTTAACTGTTAATAGAAATACAAAAAAGCTTTGGGTTTCAGCAAACAGTAGATGAATAGAATGACCAAAGCATCCATTGGAAGACAGCACAACAAAGAACAAGGACGCAGATCTGAGGCAACTAGTGAGGAAAGGCTTGGGGGGACTGCAGCTGACATACTTTGCTTGTAGCCAACAAAGGAGAGGGTGAGCCTCAACTCCTGGCCTGGCAGCTACAAACCAAAAGCTTATTGTAATAACCTGACATAATGTAGAGCTTCAGCAGTCATTTGACAGTTAGCAAGGGCTGGGTACATGGCTGGTATTATTTAAAATGAGAACTCTCTGATGAAAAAGAAATGAATTAGAAGAGGAAAAGTAAACTACTGCAGAGTCCAGATGAGAGGTAAGGGCCCAATCCAAGGCTTTGGCAACAGGCATAGAGATAAGAAGATGTAGTCACAGAATATTTAAAAAGGAAAACAGGTTGGATTTCATAATTGGTTGGATATAAAGAAGGTATAATAAGGATTCCCAGGCGTCTCTCTTAGGGTACCACTATAATGACAGACAACACAAGGGTTAGAATAGGTGTGAGTAGGAAAATATGTTAAGTTTTGGAAGTGTTGTGATCCAACACCCAGCTTTCTAACCTTTGTACATTCATCCTACAATACTTCCCTTCCCTGTAGAATTTATCTGGCTATTATGTATAACAGGTACTCAATAAATAATGTTTGCTGAACGATTAAGTCACTCACAATCCAGGAGATCTCAGTCCAAATTATCCCCATTTCATAGATGTAAAAACTGAAGTTCAGAAATGTTAAGCACCAAGTCCAAGGGTATACAGCTAGTAAGTAAGTGACACAAGCAGAGATTTGAGTTTGATTCTGAGCCACTCCAAAGTACTTTTTTCTCAAATGACTACCTTCCTTAAAATGTCTGAAGAGTTGTCCATTACCTACAGGATAAAGTCTATATTTTCTTGGACCTGCACAAAAGGTACTTTGCAATCCATCCACAGCCTACCTCCATCCCATCTTTTCTTTTCTTTTATACATTGTACTTTTTCCAGTACCTCATAGCTCCCAAAATTTCACATGATTATGTGTCTCTATGGCTTTGCACAGCTCTTGTAAATTACCCAGTCTCAAGTACTTCTTTATAGCAGCATGAGAATGGACTAATACACAGGCCACTAAAATAAAAGAACTCATGATTTTTAGAGGTTAAAAACAATAAACTATCATTAAGGTGAAGCTCTTTTGTTCTTGACCAGACATTAGGTCTATATTTAACCATAAAAATATGAACTAGTACCAACATGAAATTACTTACAACTCAATCTCATCCATTGTCTTAAACGAACATCCCTCAAACCACATCACAATTATTTGCCAGAGAGAATCAGAGGTCAATTGAAAAAAAAATTACAGTGAAATGAAGTATAATCTACTATTGCTCCAACTGATATCACAGACAAATTGGGGCAAAGAAAACACAAATACATTCTTTGCATTTAAAAAGGATGCTTTTTTTAAGAAACAACATTCAAGAAATAATTCAGACACTGAATACCTACTATGTACAAAGCACCAGAGTTTAAAAAGTTACATACCAGCCTGTAATGGAAGAATCATGCCTACCTCCATCAACTTACCACTTACCACAAAACCAGCTTTCAAAAAATGGGACTGTCTGTCCATGGATTTCCCTCCTAGTGACCAGCTCAACTCAGAGAAAGGGCAAAACATGTTTTCATGCTTGTAAGCTTACATTACATTTTATACTAAAAAATTACATCTTCAACCATAAGAAGAGGCACCAACTCTTTTCAGGTTTTCAAAGAAGCATCTTCATCAAAACAGGTGATTTTTTTAAAGTGGGTTTTTTCCTAACAGAAAAATATATATTTAACAAAACATAGCAAGATATTCTCACCCTTAATGGAATTGTAAAGACAGCACTCTTCCCCTAAGCCCTGATGTTTCTGTCCAGTTTTACTTTAACCAGATGGTTAAATGTTTTACAGAAACTATCCTCTACTTCTTTGAGACACTCTACAGGATTAAGTGTTATACATATAATAGGCTCCAAGGAACACATCCAATGAGTAAAAAGCAAGGGCCTATCTTTTCCATCCTTTAGTTGATTCCTGTTTGTTCAAAGGTCCCATACCTTACCTTGCAACCTCTATTGCTTCAACCCTCTAAAACTTACCCATCCAACTCTACCTCCTGTCTTTGGGGTAAAGTAATCTCACCTTCAAAGAGACCCTTTGCCCCCTCCCCAGTGGAATCCTATGTCATTCAGTGTTGTTCAGCATTCCTAGGTTTAAATATATAGAAGACTGGAACTAAGGACACAGGACTGAAGCTTGTCAGATATCCTGCCATTCTTCTGAGGTCACAAAATTCAAGGTAAAAACTAAATTCACATAGACCACCTATAAAACAGTAAACTAGATTCAATGCCTTTTCCTCATAGCTTTGGAAAATAAATAGAAAAGCAAAACCTAACTTCTCTGTTTTATTTAAGGAGATAAGCAATAAACACTATCATCCATCACTGAGGCCTAAATTCAACAGTGACCAAAGTGTCAACTATAATACAAAGAAAAGCCATTCACCACAGGAACTATAGCTTTCTAATAGTAAGCATCTATGACATGGGGAAAGCTTACCAATGCAAGCCAAAAAGTTTTCTACACAGCCCCATCAGTTGGGCACTTACCTTATTAGCAAGGCAAAGGATACAAGGCCTAAAGCATCTATCTAATCACAGAAACAAAAACAAAACAAAACAAAAAGGGATCCTTGTTTTATAACCATTGTAGTGTAAACTGAGAATCTTTTTAGTAAGTAGACTTTTGAGTAAGAAAAGTTATAAAAGATCACATCAGAGGTGACAATTCTAAGGAAAGCCAAGTAAGATGTGCTTAACATATTTTAATAGAGTATATTTTACCTAAGAATCTGACTTTAAGCATCCTGAGTGAGAGACACCACTCTTTCCATTAACTTTTTACCTAATCTGTTAAAAAAAAATTACATTGTACTTATACCCTATACCACCAACACTTAAGTTTCCTGGTAATCTCTGTTTTGTTCTTTAACATCTCTGACTATCTATACTGTTACCAAACCTGAATTGCACAATCTATAAATATTATGAAACAGTGAAAGAGGTTTCAAAGATTCTGAAGAAAATATGCAGAAATCTGGCCAGTTTCCACACACTCTTGGTCACTTAAATAACATTTCTAATTAGGTTATAAGTAAAGAGGATTTCATTATATTAAAATTTTGTTTAAAATGGCCTCCATTCCTATTCTAGTACAGCTGAGAGAGAAAAATCATATAAACTTATTATTGCTCTTGATAAACTAACCTAAGCACAGTATTCTATCTCATTTAAAGAAACCATGAGGCTTTGATTTTTATTATAAATATCCAAATTAATTACAGGTATGAATATATATATATTTATTTATATTTACACTTATATTTATCTGAGATACTTCCTCAACCAATGACTAAAAACTTCCAAATTGGAAACTGTAACACCTGGGTAAATAAAGACCTTTCTTGGGAATTTACTTTTTAAATTCCATTCTTGGGAAGGAGAAAAAGAAAAGAAAAAAGAGGTCTTTGGGAGGTTGAGGTGGGAGGATTGCTTGAGCTCAGTCAGGAGGTCAAGACCAGCCGCCTGGCACATGCTTGTAGTACCAGCAACCTGGAGGGGGAATACGGGGGCTGGAGGGCAAGTTGCTGAGATGGCAGGATTGCTTGAGCCCAGGAGGTTGAGGCTGCAATGAGCCATGATTGTGTCATTGCACTCCAGCCTGGGCGACAGAGCAAGAACTTGTCTCCAAAAAAAAAAAAAAAAAAAAAGAATATGGTCTCATACAGCTACAATTTAAGTGACTAACATGCCATTTTATTTTGGATAAATGATACTTAAGTGATTCAAATTATCAACGACAACCCAGGCCCTCTAATATATGTTAACACACTAATTAATTTTCTTTTAACTGCCCCCCCACCCATTTCTAACCTGTAACTTTTAAAGACACAGAGTGGTAGTATAAGTGTTTTAGACAAGTCATGTGCTGGTAACACTTATCTCCCCATTGTTTCCTACCTTCCTTCACACAGTAAACAAACCATTTTAGAGTCACTTATATGACCTCATTATCAAACACACTTGAAGAAGCCTCATGTGTAGTCTACTTAACAAGTGAGTTACATTTCTTTGCATCAGTTCTAAAATAAGTTCATTCACTAGATAATAAAGAGAAAAAAACTAAAAATCCTAGGTCTCAAACTGAACAATCAGTTTTAATGAATCATCTCACCACATGATTTTTTTTTTAATAACTCACAATCAGGAGTGGGAATTACAGAACCATGAGATTAGACTAAAAACCTAACAATTCGTCAAGGCAATGTTTAAGCCAATATAATGTTTCAAGAGGAAGAACTGAGCTTTTTATATCGTTTAGGAGCAGGAAGGTAAAAATAAGATCATGGTCTGGACATGTTAAATTTGAGGAATCAGTCACAAACATCTGACAATTAGAAACATTACCAGAGTACAGAAGAGGACTCCAGAAAGAAAATGAGATCTGAGTCATCTCCACAGACGAGATAGTTCAAGGAGTTTAAGTAAACAAGACAAAAAATAAAAACAAGGGTGATGACAGAATCCTGGAAAATGACTACATTTAGAGAATGAAAAAAAAAGGGAGAAATGAATAAAAGTATTGTTGCTCTCAGGTAAGATAAAAGGCAAAATGTCATTAAGACCTAGAATGTCTAATAAGAGTTTCAAATAGTAGTAGCTATCATTACAGTAACAAACACCAAAAAGGACCCAAGAAGAAGTACTGAAAAAACTAGAAGGTCATTGGGATGCGGCAGTGAAAAGTTTTGTGATTTTTAAGATGTCAGGTGGCAAAGGTTTGGGAAGGAGAGAAGGCAGCAGAAAGGCACATATCTTGCCAGTTTTTAAAAAGATTAGATAGAGAAATCCACTCTCCTATCTCCAAGGCAAAGACCTACATTCACAGTCTAATGTAAACCCAGAGGGGAGCTAGCAAACAGACTGAAGCAGGGAGGGGAGAGAAAAATCCCTTATTTATACTTTATTTATAGCATTTGATGATTTCCATGGCGTAAATACTCCCACCATGGCCAATTTCAAGCTGCCAACGGTTGGCAAAATTCCTGAAAATTTAGCAATGGCTTGCTGGTACAAATCAACTCCAGCGCACAACTGCAAATCACCTCTTTTATGGTCTACCCTGCAACTGGGCAATTCTGTGACAGCTTTCCTCTCAACTCAATTGTCACTTAATCATTCTCTAGGATAACTTAAAGCAATTCACAGAAGTCTACTCTACTCTCATCACTTTTAGCTTTCTCAACTGTTCTGCAGCTGAAAGGGGTTGTGAAAGCAAAATGGATCCCAGTATGCCTGTCTTCACTAAGTGCCACAAAGTAAAGGACAAGAATCATATTCAAAAAGCCATCAGATGACCATTTTAAAACTTTCCTTTGTTAATGTCATCTCCCTATCTAAACCTCAAATGTTTTAAGGTTAGGGAACTGTATTCAAAATAAGAGCCAGACATCCCACGAGTCCCAATTCCAGTGACAGGCAGCAGAGATACAGGGTAAGCATCTTAAATCCAGACACCTGAAAGGGTTCCACTCCAGCCCTGCTACTTGCTGGCAGACTGTCAGCAGCCCTTCCAGTGGTAGTTTCAACTGCAAAATGGGAACAATAACATCCAGCACACAGGGTCAACCTTGGACTTCACAGGATCACTTCTAGGGATAGTCCCTAGACACCGCTAAAGCATATTGCCAAGAATACCAGGGAAGCCCACTTCTGTCTAGAAACTGGCTAATCAGCTGCTAAGGATTTTTTAATCATCTACCTCCAATGACCTCCAACCATCACTCTAAGCCATAAAACCCTTTCACGATTCTGTCCTGGACTCCCAGGCCCCACTACATCAAAACCAAAGAGTCCACCTGAAAGTATTGTCAAGAGTCAAAAATGTTGTGACAAACCAGATGAGAACACAACCTACCAATCAGGTTCCTACTTGCGTCCACATAACATTCAACATTTCACCTCAATGCAACGAGGAAGTTCATCAACAAACCTCAACAAATAAACAAAACTCAAGAGAATAACTTCGTTTCTAATATTTCACAATTTTTCCCCATGACATCTTTCCAAATATCCCTGTCTTCATGGTACTCCATATTCTATCATTTAGGTTATGCTTCCTAGGCAAATTTCTCCAGAGGTCTGAAGTAGAACTGATGTCAAAAAATTAAATATATATGGGGGAAGTTTACTTTCCAATATAAATGACAGGTCTTGAGAAACAAGGCAATAATCTCCATAACAATTATTCCACTCATTAACTACTATTCTTCTACTAACAAATGCAAGAAGTCATTTAGGTGTAGAAAAGAATAAACTCACTACACCTGTATATCAAAAAGTTTCAGATTAGACATCTGCCCTCCAACTTCCAGTTTCCTATACATTATGTGTGTTCTTCTAAGGCACATGCAACACACACTTAGCCAGTAAAACCAGAATAATCCCAGAAGCGCAAATAAATAAGGGACAGTGGAGCTTGCAAGCCAAAGACCTTTATTCGAAAGATGAATTATCACATTTGAACGTGGTATCTCTATCTTAAGGGCTTTCTTTCTGTGAAGTATCTGAAACCCACAGCCATACACCCACTTCCCTAACTTCTTCTCCCCTCCCCCCTTCTCGGCACCCCTGCCCTCCCGCCGCTTCCCGGGCGAATTCGGGCCTCTAATACCCCCCCAAGGAAGCGCCGCCCCTTCCCACGGCCACGGGAAAGATCGCCCAGCGGCCGAGGCTGGACAGAGCACAGGTAGTACCTGCAGACGGAAGCCGCGCTAGGAGGCTGACAGAGACACCCGGTCATTTCCCGCGCCTCGCAGTCAGGTGCAGGGTCTGCTGGGCACCGCCCGCCGGCCGCACTGGGACAGG